GAAATTTAAAAAAATAAAATTCAAAAGTAAAAAAATTGTACAATAAAAACAAATAAAATTTGAAAAATAAGATAGGAAAGAAATTTAAAAAGTCAAAGAAAACAGTGAAGTAAATTTCTTTAAGACGTTTTTCCAACCTTAAATTCAGAATTTTCTCACATTTCCATTTAAAAAAATGTACTTTGCTTTCAACTAAAGCTGAAACAATTAATCTGATTAAGAATTGTCAACTAATTTAGTAATCGATTAATCATTAACTGGAGTATAGAGACTGTAAAATGTGTCTTTTGCTAACAGAGCAACCCGATTAGAGCAGTCATTTTATCAAAATTGTAAAAAAAAAAAAAATATATAAACATTTTGCATTTAAAATGTTTTCTTCCGTCAAATGCTCTATCAGCACTCCTCAAGTGGAAAAGTTTTACTTTCACCTGGCTTATTTCGCAAAAAATCTTCTTTAAAGGCACACCGTGTAGCTTTTGGCCACTAGGGGCGCTAAACCTGTTACTTTTCACGTCTAGCGCCCCTAGTGGCCAAAAGTGCCGCAGTACTGTTGCAAATCCGCCAGCCTCCCATGTCTGAACAAAGTACTAAACAGTACTACATTGGGGGCCGGACTAGGCGTCTAGGTTCAGCTCTGAGGGCGTGAGAAAAGCTGCTGCTCTCTCTCGAGAACACCGCCGGGACACGCCAGGCGGCGCAGCGCGGAGGATCAGCGCGGCGCTCCAGTGAACAGCCACTGGGTCGAATGGGGCGTTCTTTCAGGTCACATGACCTTGCCAAAGACGCCGTGCCTTCTCCCAACTTACATAAGCTGCATTTCAAGAAGGAAGCCCCGCTCTTAGGATTGATCAAGCGCGTATTTTGGCCTGAGGAATCCTTTCGAATAACTCACATGTGTCAACTCTTTAGGTCACAAAGTCTGCAGTGTGCCTTTAAGAAACCTTTGATTCTCCGATTATTAATCGATTAATCAAAAAAATTATCAACTGATTAATCGATTAGCAAAATAATCGTTAGCAGCACTGCTTTAAACCATAGTGAAACAAAATTCACTCCATACATACCTTTTTTCTTGAATAAAAACCTCAATATAGAATCAGGTAAAACCTATCTTAAGATGTTAAACATGTACGTATCCACGGTGACCTGAATATATAGTTTACAACATTGCTTGCATGTTCTGCTTATGATGCTCTGATGCCTTATCAGTCTCTTTTGTACGTCTACAGATCCTGGACTTTGGGCTGGCTCGCAGTACCGATGCGGAGATGACGGGCTACGTGGTGACCCGTTGGTACAGGGCGCCTGAGGTCATTCTGAACTGGATGCACTACACCCAGACTGGCAAGACGATTGTAGCTGTTACATATTATTAACGTAGTCCTGTTCTCACCTCTCTGTACTGTAACTCTAACTGTTTGGCTCATCACATGGACACGTCCTGTTTTACATGAGGCTTGTGTTTTGGTTTGCACAGTCAGCCGGTTTTAAAATCCTCTTATTACTTCCTAAAATCCATTGTGTTATTGTGAAACCTCTTCCCTCTCTTTTTTTCCATTCTCACAGAGTGCGACTGTCTGTTTCAGGATGTATGTTTCTGAAGGGGGAGACGTTTAGCTTATTGGAAGTAGGTTGGGTGAAATAAAATGTGGCACAGAAAGCAGATTTCCACCCTCCTTAGGATAGTATTACTCACCATATGCTCCCCCATTTCAGCTCTCTGTTTGTGATCGAGAACTGATCTCTGCCAGTTAAATGCCAACTTCCTCATTTCTATTCCACCCTGCTAGACTTCAGCCTCTGATATACATATATTATGCTTCTAGTTCTTATTGATATTTTTCGTCTTCTTATTTTTCTGTCTTTTTCCAGTGGATATTTGGTCTGTGGGCTGCATCATGGCAGAAATGATCAATGGAAAAACCCTCTTTAAAGGAAAAGACTGTATCCTTAATTGCTTTTTATCTGTTTTTTATGATATTTTCATCACGTAGTAATGAAATAGATTGATAGCCTCTTTGATAAACAGGAACGTTAATTTGATGAGAGCTATAAATCCAGTATTAAATGAATCACAAAAGCCAATTACCATAAATTATCCAAGCAACATGTTTCCTGAGGGAGAATCCTATCATGCGTTCACTATAATGTCATTTAGCTAATACATTCAGCTTCTTGTACGTTTAACAGATTTATTGGGTCTATTAGAAGATAAAACTTTGCTCTGGATTATTAACTTGCTTTCCTGGTTTTAATTAATTAGTTTATGGGCTTGTTTTTGCAAACCACATATTCCTGGGGCTAAGTTTGCAACCCATTATGATTGCAGCAGGTTTTTCTTCCCTTAACCCTTTGATATCCAGACATGGACCAGCTTTCTCAGATCATGAAGGTCTGTGGAGTGCCTGGACCAGAGTTTATCCAGAAGCTTGAAAGTCCAGAGGTAAGACAAGTCCTGATTTAATCAGATCAGTCATCTCATTTCTCACAAAACTCGTTTTTTCTAACCTTTTATTTCAAGGGTATCATCCTTGTCTTGAAATTATGCTTTTGATTTTCCTTTCTATATTTTTCACCAAAATGCAGTTTAAATGAAATTTAATACAGAATTCATTGCAGTTTATCTAATTTACCCACAATTCTAGATTTTAGAGTGGATTAAGATTAAGACATAATCTTAGATTTGATCCTAACCTTTGAGAAGCAGCATCTTTTATCAAAATCCATTTTTTATGTAAACCAGTTGCCAGATTTATCCTCATTATGAGGCTGTTCTCATTTGTTCAGTGTGATCCTATTAATTTTCAGTCACTACCAGCCTCATGGGCATGTTTTCGTACTAAGAAAATGATCAAACCAGTCAAATTAAACCACTTATTATCAAGTGTAACTTAATGATATTGACCATATAAAAATATTTGCCTTTCTTACAGTTGGCATGTCCAAACAGTGGCATCTAGAAAGTGGCATTAAAAATGCATTTTTAGACCTGTTTGAGCTGCTATGGTTTAAGTTGTGTAAAGTCACAATTTTGAGAAGTTTATAATTAAAGAAATAAGTATTTCAGTATATATATATTATATATATATATAAGCCATATTAAGAAAATCAAGCATTTTCTGTTATTATCAATAGTCAAAGTCAAAAGTCAGAATCTCATTTTGGAGCAAAAGTTCTTCACAGTGGGAAGTTGTAAATATTTAGCTCTATATTAAGACATATTTTCTAATATAATCTACTTTTTAATTCCAAAGCTTATCTTGTTCTACTGAAACAAACAAACCAACCAGAACGCCTCTTTCTACAGAGGGAGCATTTGGATACCTTCCTTCCTTCCTTAAAGCTGCAGTAAACCTGTGTGCCTAAAAGAAACATCCAGACATCTCCGGCTTTTTAACGGTCGAACTGAGAAATGTTTTTTCCCACTCCTCCTTTTCCACTGGAACACAGCAGCTCCTCAATGACATCAACATCTGGGCTGGGACTCAGCTCAGGATTTTCTCTCTCCTAATCCTAAACCAGACCCTGGTGATTTGCTGGTACTTGATGGTGATTGTCACGCTGCAGGGTCTGGATTTCCTTAAAAATAAAATTTCATACAGACAATTACATTTTTTTTCTCTAAGTCCTCTGATCCAGATTATAATTCAAAATAGATGCTAGGAGCGTCAGCTGGTTCGGTTCTGCTGCAGCAAAAGATGACACCCTCGTGTCAATCCTTCCTAGTAGCTCTGAGTTTCCTGGAAAGCTGTACTTGGTTTATTTAAAACACGTCTACTCTCTGCTGTCAAATTTAACTTACCACTCATTTGTATAAAGAACATTATTCCGGTATTTAACTACTTCTCTCTGGCCTTTATGTTTTTCCCTTAGAGACTAAAAGTTTCCTCCTTTCAGACATCCATTGATAGTTAAGCCTGATCAATCTCTCAGCCTCTCTGCTGTCAGCTTCAGGATGAACTCGCATAGCCAGCCTGAACTGGGCAAATTGGAAAGAATCCTTAAGCTGCTAAGTTCTTCTTTGTGAAGGCAACAGGCAGCTTGTTACATCTGTTCACCTCAACAGTCAGGAGCACAGAGCACTAAGGGCCTGATATAAAAGCGTTTGCATGTATTAAAACAGGTGCAAACTTCAAAAACAATCTAAACACAAGGTGGAAAAAAATTTGCAAAATCGGCAGGTTGCAGCCTCAATTTTTTTATATATTTTTTGCATGTGTTATTTATGGGTTGGAGGATATTAGCACCAGCTAGAGAGCTTTATCAAAACAGATTTTTTTTTTTTAAAGCATGTTCGAAAGTCAAACACAAACCCACACTAAAAAAAACAATCTGCAGTCATTGCAGGTCAGAGATGCTAAAAGTGTTAATGTTTATTAATCAAGTAGAAGTAGAAATCATACTGTTTAAGAATGCCTTTGAAGAGGTTAGTGTCAACTTAAGCTTTTTACTTAAGTAAAAGTCTAAAAGCACCTACTGAAAGTATAAAAGTAATGCAGGAAAACATGTTACTGACAGACGCTTTATTGCACTAGCTTATTAATAGTACATTTTATTAAAATTCTGGGTGATATCTTCCTTATACTTAATTTTCGACAATGTCAAATTTAACTTTGCATTATCTTGAAAAACTATTTACTTTGGTACGTGGTGAACAACAAGTTGGCGCAGAATAGAAAATAAATTGTCTGGATGAAGCAAATTATTTTGATCATTTTTTTTTTTTTTTTTTTTTATGTGCCAACAGGTCATAATGAGTCTATAAAGTCTTAGTTTTAAAATGTAGGGAGTAGAAAGCAGAGATACTTGCAAAAAAAAATTAATGAGTAAAAGTAAAAAGTTTTCCAAAACATAATAACTCCAGTAAAGCATCGATAGCCAAAATTCTACTTAATTAAAATACTTTGTTACTTGACACATCTGTTGCAGATGCAAAGGAGGAATGAAGGAGGATGAAAAGAGAGGCTGTGTGCATGCTAACGTGTCTGAACTGTTAGAAATTACACAAGTAGAATAATAGTGGAGGGAAAAAACTCTGCATAGCGCGGAAGAAATTAATGCAGCAGGGAAGCGATTCTCTGTGCAATCAAAACAAAATGATAAACACCATGTCCGACTGCATGTTTGGAAAAGAAAAATCAGAGCATTAACTTCCACCAGAGAACAACCATCATAGATGGGGAATGACACCCCCTATGTGTGGTAGGAGGGATTATTTTCCTTCCTCAATGTTCCTTTACAGGATCCACAGAAGCACAGTTTTGTGTGTTTTATTGAATAACGACAGCTTTTTGCAGTATATTCGCTCTAGTGGGTGTGTAGAAGAGTTGGAGGTAAATCCAGCTGCTTTGCTGCAGCTTGTTATTCTATCATGAAGCAGAGCAACATTTCCAGGTGCTTTGAAAATAAAATGATTTTTTTAATTATTTTTTTATGATGTACTAATATGATAACCTGGGCTGATCAATTTCTTTATATGAATAATGCACTTATGGCCCATAACATATATCATATGTCTCCCTACATTTTGGACACCATGAAAACCAAACAAACAGTGCTGATGTTGCTTGTCTACTTCAGTTAAACACCAGAAATCCTGAGCCTCACCACAATCAGTGTCACATGAACAAACAGATACCACATGACTCACCTCCTCCCCTCCACCTCCTGTAACAAAAACAGCAGCTACATGGAAATAATGATCAGGCCTATGAAGACATTTATTCTAATATATAACACGCATCCTTGATTATTTTCATCTTTTTTTTTCTTTGTATCACTTTAAGATAGTTATGTAAAATACACTGTAAATCATACCCAGAGTATTATATGTATTCTTTTACTAAGTATTATCATTATAACCTCATCTTTGTTTAACGATTCTTAACCTTTCGTAACAAAGGAATCTGCTTATCTAAAGGTATAGTGGAGGATTTTCAAAAAATTTTTAAAAGACCCGCCCTTTCCACTTTAAAAAGAAAAAGTGCACATGGACAACCCTGTACCCGCTGGGGTTGTCACGATACTAAACTTTTCAACTCAATACCGATACTAAGGAAAATATTCGATACTCGATACCATTTTCGATACCACAAGGATAAAAACATATTTTTACAGAAATATTTTCATTAATAAATAAAATACAATAAATAAATACAATAAACAATAAGAACAATATTTTGAGGTTGTTTGCTGTGCACAATATTAAGCAAGCTTGATAAAAAAATTATAAAATTAAAATGAAGTGTTCCTTCCTTGGCTATCCTTTACACACAAAACAATGACACTAGCCAAACCGGTTAAGAAACAAAAATAATTCTAAGCAGCTGCACCTGTTACAAAAAAAAAGTCTGGAACTGAAAATTGCACAGAATTATTCAATCACACAGTGTTCAGAAAGTGCATTGTCCTCCATTCTGCACTTTAGATGAATGACTGTTTAGGTGCCACTGGTGGTGGCACAGTATCGATACTTTTAAAAATGAGTTTTGTATCCGGATACAACGTTTCAGTATCGATACTTTTTTGAGTATCGATACTTTTGACAACCCTAGTACCCGCTCCCAAGAGCATGAGCCTATTTCTCCTCGTCTACGCTCTGTTTAGAAGTTGCTGTTTGCATTACTCATACAAGCTTACTTTCCAAAAGAAGATTTGCAATTTTTCCACTATGACAGACTTTAAGTGAAAATGGGGACGAGCACATAGGACAGCCTTATGTAAACATATCACCAGAATGATTGACAATTAGGAGGACCACTTATTTTGATGATCCACCCAGAAAATAAACATCCTCCACTATACCTTTAAATGGCGCGGACCGAGCCTGTGTGCTTGTCTTAACTTTCGTTTGCGCAATTTGTCTAGATCACCCGTCACTTGTTGCTCAAATACATTTTTATTTCTTGCACAATTTATCACTCCTTATTTGGAATCTTTGTAGATCAGGTCCTAGACGTCTAACAGTTTGAGGAGGTGAACCTCCTTTAAAAGGCTGAATAACTCAGTTCTCAGGTGTGTGGGAATAAAAGTATGGCTGTCCTGATTTTTTGGTTTGCAGATCTTTATAAAGGTCCCTTTTTTTGTTCTTTTCACGTCTTATATAACCTAATTTTAATGTTGTCAAATACCCAATCATACATAAAAACACACAATCTTTAAAAAAAAAAAAAAAAAAATACATAAAAACACACAATCTTTAAAAAAAAAAAAAAAAAACACTGGGCTTTGTTTCCAAGTTTGAAGACATTTCACTTCCCATCGAGGAAGCTTTGTGTCAGGAATAGCGTTGAGTTCCTTTATACAGTAGCTAACAGGGCCTTGTTTTTGCTTAGACAATGTGCAAATTGAAACAGAGAAACTGGTCCACTCCTTTGGAATGGGCATCATTTGGTTCACTTTGTTGCCTGCTGGCTATGTCTCTGATAGGGCGGTCATTAAGGGGAATTGTTGGCCTGACCGAATTGGCGATGTCTTCTCTTTCCCTGTAAAGAAAGACAATAACCAACCTTAAGCAGAAGTAGTGGACTCAGATTTTGGCCTTCAAAAACCTACAATGAAGCAATTGAGTTAATCCCTTCCCGCTATCATCGCAGCCCCAGACACTTTACAGGGAAACAGAAGACCTCGCCTCTTCAGCCTGGCCAACAATTCCCTTTAGCGACCCCCCTTTCAGAGACATAGACAGGTATGGGGCATTGCAGGCTAACAAAACAAGGCAAACGACCCCCAATCCATTGGGGTGGACCCCTTCGTCTGTTGCAATTTGCATGTTATCTAAGCAAAAACAAGGCCGTGTTGGCTACTGTATAAAGCAACACAATGCTAATTCTGACATTTGAATTGAAAAAGCTTCCTGGATGGGAAGCGAAACGTCTTCAAGCTTGGAAACAAAGTCCAGCAGTTTGTTTTTTAACTTTTTGGGAATCACTGTGACGTGGATGACTGAGAATCTTCACCAACATATAACACACAATCTTTGAAATAAAACTATTTTTATTAAAGTCTAAAAAACATTCATGGATACACAAAGTTTACTGGGCCAGACTCTGATGAGCACACCTTCTTGTTTCATTTGTAGGCATCTTTAGCCAATAAACTAAATAAAATATTAACTTGACTTTTATCTTTTGTTCTCATCTATAAAAAGGCCAGAAGTTATGTAAAAGGCCTCCCTCGACACCCTAGAAAAGACTTCTCAACGTTGTTTCCCAGAGCCAGTGATAAGGGTGAGTTCAAACGATTCATCATCTAATAGCGTTTATTTAAATATCTATTTTTAACTTCATATAAAGACAGATTGTCTTCCTGTTCAAGGAGCTACTTTCTTAACGCAGACAGCAGTTGTTTTCTGGTTTCTTTGGAATGTAATGTTGATTTTAATGCTTTCTGATCTTGAAGGATGAGAGCTGTCACATTTTGTAACAGAACTTACATAATTGCTTTTTGTTCTAAATATATGCAAGAAGTTATTAAGTTAATAACTGCACAGTGTGACATTAAGATGCACGGTTGCATCTTTGTGTGCATGGGTAGATACAGAAACCCAGCTTTTGACACTACCTCTTTGATGCAGTCTCTGTTTTGTTTTTTTCTGCGTTATTGCATGCTCGGCAGGGGTCGATCTGCTTGAAAAGATGCTGGTTCTGGATGGAGATGAGAGGCCTACTGCCGAACTCGCTCTGGAGCACCCGTACTTCGACAGTCTACGAGACCCGGAGGACTTTCCTGAGCCGACGCCATATGATGACAGCCATGACAATGCAACGTTGTCCCTAGATGAGTGGAAGCGTAAGTATTAATAAAGCAAAACACTCTGAAATCTTGTGATGAGATACGCTTTAAAAAACAGTTATACAGTTAAAACTTTATAATGTGACAACCTTATCCAGCCTTTCAGACTGAAAACTAACTATGTCATAAGAAGCAGTTGAAGTTATGGAAATAGGACTATAAATATAAACAGGTCAATCTAGTACAGGACTATATTTAATTAAAAACAAGGTAAAATGGAGAGTTATGTTTTTAAAAGTAGCAATTTGCTTCCAGCAGAAAGGCCCAAGGTAATCTCTCTTATGACCAGATCATTCATCCATGTGACCTCGGCTGTTTCGTGTGTAAGAATAGAGGTTTCAAAGTTATGAATCAAAGTGACAACAAAATACAAGTACAAATCCCAAATGTACGAGTATGAATCTACAAAGCCAGAGGAAGCTGTTAAGCTCATTATTGGTTGGTGGCAGTTGTGCACCTGAAGGTTGTTCACCAATTGGTGTTAAACAAGAAAAGGAAGAAGAACACGTAAACAAAACCATCATCGATCTTTATTTCTTTGCTAAATTGTTGGTTTTGACACATGATGTTCTATTGATGGTTGTGTTTGAGGCCGTATCCGAACGTCCGCCCTAACCCCTCAATCACTATATAGAGCAGGGACTTTATTAACCGTTCCAAATGATGATTACTATCTGCTCCCTGTTGGTCACGTGACTCTGGCTCCCCACATGGTGCCTCCGCCATCTTTGTTCTTTCTTGCCCCAAAAACAAATCCCATGAGGCTTTGTGAGGGCAGCTCTTGCAAAGCATTCTGGGATATATCTGCTCATCTAGTGACGCTACTTGATGCATTGTAGGAAATTTTGAGTCCACTAGTTTTTCATCCACTAGACATCAATAACTGAGGTATAAAATGCCCTAACCCCTATATAGAGCACTATATAGGAGATAGGGCCGATGTTAGTCTCCCTCCACTTCTTCTTTAAATTGCTTTGGCAAACAACTTTTAGGTGAACTACTGCCACCATCTGGTAAGAAGTGTAACAGCCTGATCAGGGGTTGTAGAGTCATACTCGTAAATTTGTGATTCTTGCTTGTATTTTTGTAAATTTCTAACTTGTATTCATAACTTCTTAACCTTGCTACATATTTAATGTCTGAATTTGGTTTTGCCATATTGTTTTTCACTTTTAAATTGACTTTTTTAATTTGTTTGGATTTCTTTATCGTCCCAGAATTGATGGCATTTATGTCAAACAACTAACAATCGCCAAAATTATATGATTTTAGGAGTTTTTTCTTAAAAATATATAATAATGATTTATGTTTTTTTTTTTCCAACTATTAATATATGGTATTTTAAGACTGGATTTCCACCAAGGTCAGGTTAAAAATGTTTTTAACAAAAAGATTATTTTGCTTATGGTGATGATATACCTTTAGTTTACCCTTGATAAAGGTGTGTAAAACTTCCAGAAATAAATTAATTTATCACCAACCTTTATTCATTTTTAATCCAGCCTTTATTTTTTTGGGTATATTTAATCACTGATTCATTGCATTAACGTGGATGCACAAATCCATGTTAATATTACAAAAACAAACTTACTGGCATAACTGATGTTAATGCTCTGTGCAACATCCCCTTTGTCAATAGGAAGAAGTAAATTCACTAAAATAACTTTATTTGTAAAGCGCTAATTCACAGCAAATCTTTTATGGAGCACTTGTATAAAACAAATCCAATCATACAAAAATATTCAAAGTTATTCCAGATACAATGAAGTTCGATTTATTATCAATAAATAGGTATTACAGAACCAGAACATGTAGAGAGAAACAGCCTAGAATGGCTTCTCTTCAGCTTATGACACGCGTTTCTTCAGTGTATAAATCTGGTCAACAATTTACTCAGGCCTAGAATAATTTACTTTAAAATTTTCACATCCACATCATCCTCCAGGATGCTGCTGAAGATTCATCCAGCTCAATTTCAATTCCAAAAAAAGAAAATTAAATACAATCCACTGGAATTTGTTTCCAAACGTTTCGCTTCCCATCCAGGAAACTTTTCCTGACATTTTGAACTGAAAAATCTTCTTGGATGGGAAGCAAAACGTCTTAAAACTTGGAAACAAAGTCCAGTGGATTCTTTTTATTTTATTTTCTTTTTTTTTTTTTTTTTTTGGAATCCTCCAGGATCTTTATATCAGCAACAAGTCGAGAAATGACTTATAAAGCATGATTATGCCTCTTTGGCAACCTGGCCTGCAACTCAGGAGGTTTAGATATATGTTTGGTATTCTATTTCAGATCCTTCACTTAGTAAACAAGCTTATACAGAGTTTTATTGGTAGAGTCTATCTGACTTTTATTTAAAATGCTCTGGTATTTTAAAAAGTTTGTGATTCCAGATCCACATCATCAGGAATCCTCCATCATGGTTAACAGAAATGGGGTTTCTGCTTATTAATCCTCTGATTTATACCAAACTCACCTGATGTGTTTGTGATTGAGACGATTGTTATTGTTTCCATCTGCCCAAAGCACACGGCTTCAGTTCAAGTCCCTGCAGAGTTCAGCAAACTCCACATGTCCTCCAATACCATGCTCCTCACTACTTACCATGAAAACATGACTCTGTTCAACCTTCACAACTATCTGTTTAATCACAAACCTAATGTAGGTATGGGTTGGTTAAAATTGGCGGCTATTTTTTTCCAATAAGTTCAAATTTGTTAAGGATTTATTAAGATCTGGTATATTAAAGTAGTTTTCTCCCATCTTTTTCATTTTGAAGCCTGGAGAACATCTGTTGGATGCCATATTTATACCCTGGGAAAGCAGGAAGTCTTAAATTAATGATTTTAAAAAATCCTCAACACTCTGACCAAACTATGAATTACAAAAGATATTTATGTTAATTTAATTTGAAACAATAACCTAATTCAAGCTTTGATTTTGAGATTTTTCTCATTGTTACATTGGAATAAAGGTTTTTTTTTTTTGTTATTTATCTTTACCAGCAGTGCCAGAATGTGTGTGCAGGGGATGCATGCATTTAAAATCATTTTGTTATGAAATTGTGGTTGTGAACATGCATATGTTTCTTGTCTTTCTTCTCACAGGGTTATGTTACAAAGAGGTGAAAAGCTTTGTTCCGTTTCCACGGCGGGACTCCAAGAGAAAAAACACTTTTACTATGTCTCCATGACCCCATGGATTCGATTTCCCTCCCGACGCCCCAACAGATAACAGCACAAAGCCAATTACTGACCCAAATCAATTTTATTTGGAAGGTAGTTGGATTCATTGTTTGATGATAGTGCTTTATTTAAACAAAAACATCCCATTTTCTTTCTGAATGTGAGCTTATTTCTTAAATGTAAATTGTTACATGTCAGTGATTCGTGTTGAGAGTTTGTGATAAAACGGTGCAGGATTTCCTTTTAGATGTGCTGTAATACTGCTTTCCATTAAACAATAAGATTTATATTTGCTGTTTTCTTCTTTTTTATTATTTTGCTGAACTTTGACATTCTTTATCATAACATGTGCTGTAAATATTTAAGTACAAGTAATTTAAATATATAATAAGATTCTTAAAAGGAGCTTTCCAGACCAAGACAAGTGATGCAAATTACAGAGAGTAAGCAGCTAAGTTCACCAGTACGCTGCGATATGGTCAAGAAACAGTGTGCCTAATAACTGTTATTGATTAAGGCTTCTGATTATAAACTAAATATCAATTAATAATGCTATAGATGTTAGAGGAAACAGGTGCAAGAAAAGGCGCTTTTCAGGATTTAGTTTATTTGATTGATATATGTTGCGATAATTTAAAACCATCCAACAGACCTCATCTAAGGCTAATACTGCAGCTATTGTAATTATACTGCTTTCTTTTTTTAATCTGTGTATTTAAAATGTTTGAAAAAGCTTGAAACAAAAAACAGGGCAATAGTTTATTGCCCTGTTCAAATAATTATTATCATATTTCAAATTATATAATCATTTGAACCATATTATAGGGAGAGCGGTAGAACCAAAGAGCCACTCATGGCTCTATACTAATTGAAGTGAAATTTCCATGTCATTTTTTTTAATTAAAATTTTATGTTCCAACTGAAAATGTGATTTTCCTGGCTTGAAAATATGCATTTCATTTACCTGAAATGAAAATAAAAAACTTAGAATAGAACAAAAAGCACAGAAATAATCAGGTGATAAATATCTGCTAAAGATATTTTGCATATTAGGTCAATGTAAATTCACGATTCAGGAATATTACATATTTTTTACTTATTTAAAATGAAAATGACCTGTTTTAATTGAATCAGACTTGGAACTTAAGATATTTTCATCTGTAACAAATTAGATTTTTTTCTTTTAATTTGGTTCAAAATAACTTTTAGTTGATGAAAACTGTGATCTAAATATGACGGACCTACCACATTTATTTTGAAATTATAATTAAAACACTACTGTAAAGATATCAATGAAATGAGTCCAAGGAACTAATCATTCACTATTTCTGTTCCAGCGTAAAATATCATGAAAACATTTTTTTTTTTTAGTATTATGTCTTCACTAGAGGGACCACAGCAGAGGCCAGGACCAGTTCCACAGGGGCACTGGCCCCTGTTGGCCCCTTTCTAAACCCGACAGTGTTTTAAACATGGTGACTGAAATGTTCCCCTCATCAGATGGATCATAGAGTAAGCAGTGCCTCCTCTCCTGCAGATGTTGCTGCCTGCTGTCATCCTGCTGGTTTGTCCTTTTCTCTTGCTAGAAGACAGAAGGCTGGGAAATAGTTCCCAGAAAGAGCTTCACCAACCTACAAGCTGCATGTATATAAAGCAGCAGGGTACAATCTAATGGAGCAGATAGCCTGAACAATTAACCCAACTTATATCAGCATTATAAACATCATCATTTTTGTAGTTAGAAGATTACAAAACCAAAAGGAGAAGAAAAGCAGATCTCCACTACATGTAGCACAACATGAGTCTATTATAAAGCTTTTTATATATACTAACATCAATGACTAGTCCTTTTTTAGAACCAGAATAGACCCCCACCCAACTAATGTGCTCAAAATGAAATATTTGAATTAAAAACAGGTCTAACCAAAATATGCACTTGCATAACTACCACAAATATTTAGTGGCTACCACACATATTTCACACATGCCAACAAATTTAAATGCAATTAAAACATGCCTATGTCTCAACAGAGGAAAAGCTGCTAAAACACTGATATGAAACAGAACAGAAAATATTAGCTACATGGAGTTACTGGGTGAAGAGTTGAGTGTTTGCCTCAAATATACTCAAAGGAGTAAAAATTCAAGGTCAAATAAGAAAAATAGGAAGTTATATTAAATAGTATGTTAAAATAATTAGTTGTTTATGCTTTCTTTTGTTTTGTTTTTTACTATTTATTATTGTATTTTGTAATGGTATAAATATCCCAACAGGCTCTCGTTTAAACTGCAGCTACTAGTCTACTGGTATGCACTCTCTCTTTTCTATGTAATAATAATAATTGAACTTTATTAATCATCATAACTGGAGAAATGTATCTCTGCATCTAACCCGTCCACTTGGGGAGCAGTGGGCTGCCACCGTGCGGCACCCAGGGTCTTGGGTTAAGGGTCTTGCTCAGGGACCCAGAGTGCAGGCTGTGGGGATTGAACTGGGAACATAGCTTTGCTACGGTGCATCTTAAACTTCCATATCAATGCGTTTTTGCATCATTTTCCCTCACACTGTTTACATCTGATCAATGCTGCACTTTATGGAAATGAAATGTTCTGAAAGCTGTTAAAAAGGAAATTTCCGTTTTGTACACACTCTGTGTTTACAAAATGACAATAAAAGTTGTCTAAGTACATTCAACCTTATCAGAAAACAAGCGCACCGCTCTAACCACTAGGCCAAAACATTTATTTATTTATTTTTTTTAACATATTCACTCTTTACTCTTTTTTGTACCTTTGTAACAGGTAAAGAATGAAACAGTGGGACATCCTTTCTTCGCTGGGTTATTTCCAAACTACCTTATTTAAGATGTGTTATTTCCTTATTTAAGTGTGTTTTTGTCATCTTATTTTACTAATAAATCATTTTATAGCTTACTATAAATTATATATAACTAATTTATTTCAAAGGCTATGCAAAAAAAAAAGAGATTTAACTCTCATTTACATAGGGATTATTTTCATGTACAGCTAAAGGGAATATTGCAGGTTCTCTTTTTGAATTATTATGATAATCAGTGAGAAAGTGACTGGAGTTGTCGCCTAATGAGGATGAGACCCGCGAAAATCATGATCTCATGACGTAAAAGGGGCGGTCTCCTAGCAGGCTGAACTTTTACCACCCAGCTAATGTCAAGGCATCAATTATGTTAACGCCCACCGGAAAAAGGAGGCAATACTGTCACAATAAAAGCATGGGTAATTTTATCTCATTTGAAGTAGGTAAAATAAATGCAAAAGCAAAAATGTTCTGCTTGTTTCATGCATATAAATTGGTTTATTATAATTATGCAGGGAGTTTTACAGATTATATGGACAGTGCAATGTAAGTAGAACAGAAGAGGAAAAAAGAAAAAAAAGGAGAAAAAATGAGAGAAGGAGAAATATGAGCTTTTCTGTAAAAAGCCCATATTCAAAAAATGATTATTAACTATAACCCATTCTGGAGTCTTTCCCTTTTTAATATATTCCCACCAATTGCAGATCAGCTTCTGGTGTGATAAATAACCATCAAGGACTCAAGTGACTGTGGAAGCGTAAAGCCAAACTGAAACTGAGTCAAACCAAGATTTTGAGCTTTTATGCCTCCAATCCATCCAAAGCCATTATAATCTGATTTATGTTGTCCCCAACAGTCCTGTAGCACACTACTAAAGTATTCTGATCTTTGTCGCTTAAATGTATTGGCTGCGAATAAAAAAAAAACAAGCAAAAAAAAAACTGTCCAAAATAGCTCAATATATGTTGGAAACTAGTATATTATTACATTATTACACAGTGGTCTTTTTGGCCTTTGGCCAAGAAAAAAAAAGGCATTCATTGAACCACAGTCTTTTGCAATTAAAACCACTTATAGTAAATATGCTTTCGATTAAATTAAATATTTTCCTAGAATGGAATCCATTAGCGATTTTATATTTTATTATGAAATTTTTACCCGGAAGTCACTGACTTTTTCTTTGCTAGCTTTTCCTCTACAGGACTAACTCGGCTCCAAACAAGTAGCCAACTAGCCGCAAGAGGCTAGCTTTTCTTCTCACTATATTTGATCGACAACAAGGTTTTACTCGTTTTTTTGGTGTTAATATACCCTCGTTTTTTTCAGTATGACATTGGAATCAGCTGATTTAATTTTAAATGCACATTTGCTGATAGCTGGAGACGTTATAAGGCGGTGAAATATACCGGCTGTGTTAGCAAACTGGGAGAGGCTAACGTTAGCAGCTAGCCTAGGAAGTGTAGCAAGCCAAACTAAGCGACCATTACTTGAAGCAGCTTCAAACCACCGGTTGTTGCGGCACCGCCATCTATCAGCTGACATTATTGGTAAGACTCGCCAAATGTGCTTTTTTTCATTGCACTTTCAAGTTGTTTACTGCTTTTGAAACTTTTATGTTTGTTTTGTTTAGAAAACCTCAATAAAACCGGCTAGCGACTTTAAAAGTTAGCCACCTAGCTCTGTTACATTCTTGACATGTAACGACATAATGCCAGATAATCGACACATTGCCGTAGAGTTTTTGTGTTGACTTCACAGATGAAAACTGTATCGGTTCTCAAAAGCATTGTTAAAATATGTAAAGCACGTACGAGCTCTTGACAGCTTTTGAAAACTGTAAATATGGCTGACATTTTACTACTGGAATGGAGGGCTCTGATCCTTTCAGTAGAGGTTGTTCTTGAAGCTGATTGGCTCTTTAACCGATCACTCAAACTTTCTTGAAAGTTGATTGGATACTCTCGTGAAATGTAATATATATGAATTCAAAGGAGTCTTTGTAAGATAATAATTAGGAAAATTAACTGGTCATTTAACATTGTTTTTGTAATTTGAAAAGATATGGTTCCCATAAGTATTTTAAATTGTAGTTTTGAAATGTATGATTTGTTATCTGGAATATACATTATCTCAGCTATTTATAAGAAAAAAGCACTTATATATTTATGATTTATTTTGGTGAATAATCCAAAGCTTAAATTTTGTTTATCTTGGCTATAATTTGTATACTCTTGTTAGAGCTCCCTGAATTTTTTTAATTTTACATAGATTTTTTTCTACAGTAATGGCACTGTAGAAGAGACTAAAATAAAACGTATAGCTGCCAATCTTAGACAAACGTGTGCATGAATACATTTTTGATAAGGAGACTAGCTTATGCTAGCCTTGCTCTGATTAAGCGACATGGAACATCAGTTTCTTATTACTATTTTGTTAATAAAGTGTAAGT